CAGGTTGCTAGACCTCAGTCCAGTCTATCACATGATTCTTACCTATCACACACAGATCATATGAAAAGATATGAGCAAATTATTAATATTTAAAATATGTATTTATTTTAAATATTTTTATTCCATCTTTCTCCTTAAAAAGAACCCAAGGTGGCTAATGGAATAAGCTTTGCTATGCTGCTGATTTGTTCCTCATTGTTGTCAGGGTAAAAGTATGAGCTGTCTTGTAACAAATTACAGCATAATGAAAAGTTTTTAAAAGGCCACGCCCCACCTCATAGAGGGATTCTTGGCTTCATGTAATATGTGACCATCATCAAATAACAGGTAATTAGTTGGTGTGTAACTGTTCATTGATCAATGTGCCATCCTTACTGTGCGAGATTAGACATGCTATTCCCAACAGTAGAAAGAATGATAAAAGAATGAGATTGAGTTTACCTATCTTAAAATGCCCCAACAAATTTGTAGTTGCCACCATCTACTAACGTAGCAGGATAGTTGATATACATTTGGTAGGAGAAGTCTGATTGGGTTACCAGATCACCACTCTGCCCACTCCTAGTCTTCATTTTGCCCAGCTCCCCAACAGGTCGACATATTCTTTTTCAGTTCAGTCAGTGAACCCAAAGCAGTGCAAAGTGAGGTGAAACAGTATAACTTTTAACTTTTAAAAAGTAGGTGTATTGACAAAAATACAACAAATATAAAATTTATATTCAGAGAAACATGATTACTGCTTCCTACTATCTTGTTTCTGTACTCGCTAAGTGTATAGATAGGTTCCAGCTCTTAAGTTTGTCAGTAGATCCACTCTAGGGAATGTAATATTAATGCTTGGAGTGTTAATATCTGAAAGGATTTTTTTTTCTGTTACTACTTTGGATCAGCAGAAAATAATTACACTTACTGTGTCCATGTCTGCAAGGGTAAATACCATGTTTGCCTGAAAATAAGACAGGGTCTTATATTAATTTTTGCTTTAAAAATGCATTAGGGCTTATTTTCGGGGGATGTTTTATTTTTTTCAAGAACAACGATCATTTATTCAATTACCATAATTTATTTTATTTATTATTATTAATTTATTCCCGTTCTCCTTCCCCTTCTTTAAATGTACCTGGGGCCACTTCCTCCAGAGGTGCTTCTGCTGCTGCCAGGAGGCGCCACGGTGGTGGCTTGGGTTCCTCCAGTGGCGGTGCCTGGGCTGAGGCTCCCGTTGGGGGGGGCGGGCGCTGGGTTTGTTTTGCAGGAAACAACGGCAGCAGTGAAGGGGGAAGCGTTGGTGTGGAAGGGGGCGGGGTCCGAAGCCCACGAGCCCAGTTGAGGAAAGGGCAGTGGCTGCTTCAACATGTGGCCCTGCCAGCAGCACCCAGCACCGAAGAGGAGGGTTAAAAGAGTAACGGTAGCTTACATTAAAATATAGTACAGTGGGGTCTTGACTTGAGAACTTAATCCGTATTGGAAGGGGGTTCTCCAGTCAAAAAATCTGTAAGTGAAGTCTCCACTGGGAAGCGTTGGTGTGGAAGGGGGCGGGGTCCGAAGCCCACGAGCCCAGTTGAGGAAAGGGCAGTGGCTGCTTCAACATGTGGCCCTGCCAGCAGCACCCAGCACCAAAGAGGAGGGTTAAAAGATTAACAAGAGGAGGGTTAAAAGTGTAACGGTAGCTTACATTAAAATATAGTAATTAGTCTTTAAGGTGCCACAACCTCTCTCTTTGCTTTTGTTTTGTATTTAATAAACACTGAAAATACTTCAAAGAAAACATATTTTTTAGCCTCAGACCCCCCATCTTCATCAGATTACACTAACCCCACCTTTACATGGTTATTGTAAAGATTACCGAGTTGATATACATCAAGCACTTTAAAAACAGCCCTTAACCATTCAATATGTATAACACACACACACGGGGTGGATAAAAATCAATGATTTTTAAAATCAGATTGATTTAAATCATTATTAAAGCACATTTAAAATTTTTAAAAATCAGGTTTTTAAAATTAATAATAAAAATATGATTTTTATTTAAATCACAGTCCTGGCAATAGCTTACAGTTCAGGGAATGTTGAAAGATTGCTTCAGCTGAAGACTGGAAAATAAATAGTACTGAGTTAATCAAAATACTAAGCTCTCTACCTATATGGGAAGTGGCCCGTGAAATGCCGCTTGGACAATCCCCATATCAGGAGATTAGGTAGGTGTGAAACAAACGTCATCAGGTACTGTTGCCTCCTAAGGAACGAAAGCAGGATGGAATATTGGGCCTTAACAGTAATAAAATGCCAGACTTAGAATTTAATCACTAATTTTCCTGGCCAATACAAAATGTCAGCTTAGAGCAAGCTCACATTTATAATTAAAATGTGCTGTTCAGAATGTACTCATTCCTTGTAAAGAGTGTGGCCAGCCATTATTTCCATACCCCCTTACACATTTTTATGTGTGGGGTTGTTTTCTCAAAACCAGACGTAACATCCAATCAACTCCACTTTTCCTGGTCCTCAGGAGGGCTGGTCCCTTGGTCAAGAAATAAGAGTCCTACCAGAGAGTTAGGTAAACAAGGTGTTGGAGATCCAGAGACACAGTCCAAAGTCAAGCAGTACAACAGTCATTGTGGCCAAAAAGTCATACTCAGTCAGAAGAAACATTGTATCCAGAAATCCATAGTCCCAAACAGATGTTTGTATAGCTGGTATGTATGATTCATTTGGCCAGCTTTTAGGGAAGGGATGCTATCTGGGAGGATCTGCATGGCCCATTCATTCCTCATCCATGTCAGGTCCTCACTGAAGGACGCAACTTTCAGGATTGTGAAAGCTTTGAAAAAATGTCCTCTCCTCATCCTAAAACAGCTCGGGGGATTGTGGAGGAATCATGGTAGAGCCGTTGCTCTGTCTTCCCTGGATGGTACATGTTGTCTTTTGATATAAAAAGAAATATGGGTATTGAGGGATAAAGACAGCTCTCTGAGGTCCAGAGATAGCCATGTGTAGCAGTTGGACATCTAGAAGTTGGCCACTCTGGATTAGAGGCCATAAGGGGGTGGGTGGGAGTCATACTAATTTGAATGCCGATTGGATATTAGATTATTAATGTGTTGTTCTCATTCAGTGAAAATATGTTGCAGGGGAAATAAAACAATCAGGGATGAGCATGAAGAAAGATTTAAGAAGCTGAAGCTTTGTTGAGATTGATAAAATTATACACAAGATGTTAAGAATATGAGCATTGAACAGAAATTGGCAAGAAATGTAGTTCAGATGGAGAGATATGCTTAGCCGGTGCATAATTTTGGTATTTGCTGCTACAGATGGTGTTGATAGCTATTCATATTAAAGATTTTAGATAAGGCCTGGGCAGTTTTGATGAGTCTGGCGACCAGTTTCACCTTTAGGTGGTGAAGTAACAGTGGTGCACCCAACTGTTACTTCACTGACAAATTCAGCAACAAATTGTGCCACTGAAATCCCCATTTATTTTGCTTGGTTTAAGGAGAGCGTTCAGAGTTTCCTGGTGAAATTTTCATGCAAACTTTTCCTTAATCACTCAAAGCAAGCATAATTTTAAAAGCTTGTTATAAGTGGGGATTTCCTGGGCTACTGCTGAAATGTATGTGTATGGTTTTCAGCCCCCTTCCCTGGGAGGGGTGCAAAAATGACCTTGGGGGCCATGTGGGTGACACATTGCTAACACATGTTTTAAACGAATTATTTGAAGATATTATCAATGGTGGTTAACCATAATATCTGTGAACGGAATATCCATATTGGAGACAAGCGGCAAGAGTTGGTCTTTGCCATCTTTTTCTCATTCACTTCCCAAGATCATCTGATTGGTTACAGGTGGCAATGAAGTACTGGACCTCTTGGGCCTGTGGTCTGTTTGACAAAGCATTTCTTACATTTATACACTGTAATATATATAGAGTGGTCGCAAGACCAGATAGGCGGGATATAAATAAAATAAATAAATAAATAATACACACTTACATTTATATACTGCTGTTTTTCTGGATTAAAAAGCTCTGTTGGGCACATCACCAAGATAAATATTTAATGGAGGAACTTCAAAAAATATGTAATTGCTTATCCAAGGACAAGTTGTCAAAGAACTTGATGTATTATTGTTACAATGTTTTTTTTAGAAAATTGGAGATGTGTAATTAGTTGCTTGCCTCAAGTTCTGTTCAGACTTTATTAAAATCCTTAGCTTAGTTTCAAAGTTCTGTGTACCTAAGGGGGTTTGGGACTGGTATGTGAAGAATACCAGTTTATCATGCCACACAGTTATTCTGCCTTGGAAAAGCAGCATGAGCTACAGAACTAGCTTTTAAAGACAATGTACACACAATGTCTGGGCCTTGGAGATCACATCCAATGTTTTTCAGATCACATCCAATGTTTTTAACCAAAACTGACCAAATAAGATTGTCCTAATTGTTCTCAAGATAAATTAAACTAAAATATTCCATCTTAAATTCTTTCCACCAACGTCTCTAATAAGTATATCAGGGCACTGATAAACTGTATTATTTTTGTTACAGTGTATAAAGTAATTTCTATGACAATTTTTAAGCTGTACTACAGGAATTAACTTTACTTCTAAAATAATAAACAGTAGTTGGTCCCAAGGCTCTCCACATCAACTTTCATTTTGTAATGCAGGCGCGTCCTTGTGATATAAAACCTTATGACATTTTAATTAGGAAAATAGATCATGCAATTCCATACGATGGAATAAATTTTCCAAGCACTGCTGCTTTGGTCTACTGCATGTTCTTCTAAATTGGAATAAAAATGCATTAAAACTTGTCTAAATTAAATCAGTCTTAATTTAGGGGGAGGGCAGAAGAGAGAGAAACTGTTGTTTTTAATTTATAGATGACCTTTCCTATACTTTAAATCTGTGCAAGGGAGTATTTGTGCATGCAGGCAGTATTTTTGCAAGGTGAAACGCAGTTCTTTGTGTTCGGCTTCTGAATTTCTTTCTACTTAAGTTTCAGGAAAAGGAGAAGATAGTGATGTTCTCAGCATCAATGCAGATGCCTATGACAGTGACATTGAAGGCCCATGCAACGAAGAAGAGAATCCAGATGTGACAGAAAAGACAATCAGAAGTGGAGATGGCCAGATAGATGACCTTCAAAAGGACATTGAGAAAAGTGTCAATGAGATCCTGGGGCTTGCTGCATCCTCCCCAAAGGAGTCTAAGGGAGCAACATTAGCTGTTCCTCCAGCAGATGATATTCAGCCGTCAGCACAGCAGCTGGAGCTCCTGGAGCTTGAGATGCGCGCAAGGGCTATTAAGGCCCTCATGAAAGCTGGAGATGCAAAAAAATAGCCCCGGGGCTGTTTCATTTGCAAGATGTCTCTATTTGTTCTGATGGGTGTGATGTTAGCTCCCTTCAGTACTAAAATAGGTTTGGACTCATTTTGACATTCCTCATACAGATCCTTTGTGTATCCTAACTCGTGGCTGAAACAGTTGTCAGCAGTCTGTCATTGCCACCAGAATGCTTCTTTTGTGACGTACAGAAATGGATTGGTTTGATACCATTTGCCTTATTGGTTGCTTATTCTTTCTCTCAAATTATTTCTCATTGAGATGTATGAAACCCACAGTCATAGACAATATGGATCTCTAGCTATGTTTTAGTACTGCACAGAGCCATAGAAGAGCTGAGAGTCTTTAGGCAACTTGTACTTAGGATGGGTGAGATGTGTTTGGCCTTCTAGATGTTGTTAGATTGTAGTTTCCAAAGGACATCAGCATGGCTAGGGCTAACAGGAGCCAGAGGCGTTTCCAATAACTGATGTATAAGGTTTACTTGTGGGAGTAAAGAAAGAGCCATTGTGCATTACAGGTGTAATGTTTTAGGATGAGCAAGTACTCAGTAGAATCCCAGAGAGCTTTCTAAAACTGTACCCTCAGTGGAATCCTCAAGAGCCTTCTAAAATTGATACAGGATATAGGCAATGCAGTGATATGTCTGACTTGTATGATGTGGCACTTAGCCAAAATATTGATGTAAGATCTCAATTGTTCTGGGCCCTAGGATGCTCTCAGTTCTTAGTGTGGGTCATAGCATCCATACTCTGTGTAATCTAGAAAAACACATTGTCTCCCTTAGCTATATCATGTGTGTGCATCTTAAAACATGCTGTAAAGAACTGAAGAAAATGTGGTGCATGAGTATAGATCTGTATGGTGGCCAGTTGCTGAGAACAGATAAAAAAAGAATGGCTAAACTTCAGAAGACTGAAATGCATCCTTAAATTGTAGAAATAACATGGTTTAAAAAACAATGTTTAAACCCCAAACTAAGAAGCTGTAGAAGTACCTGTCTGTTAATACTCCGTGTGCTACAGCTGTTTCCTTTCTTGGCAACAGTGATACTGTTCTCTTCTTTCATTACTCTTGACATTTTCTAACTTTATTTCTTTTGTAAAATAGACATTTTCTCCTAATTAGGAGAGCTGTATTTATTTGTTACATGTGCGTTCTCCCTGTAAGATGAAGCAGAGCAACGCAGACTCTGAACCGTCCATACAGTTAAATACTGTTGCATCAGTGGTGCAAATTATCAATGGCCCTTATTCAGAATGCTTAGCGTAACAACACACCATTTTTAAAAAAGGGACAATGATGATAAAAATCACTGTGTATGAATGGCATAAATAAATGCAATTGACTTCAAATTCTTGTGCATGAAAAGTTTTTGGTTTTTTTTTAAAGTTGGAACAGGTAGAGAGAAGATTATGTGTAGCCATTTTGCATGCTCTCTGCCTTCCTTTACAGAGTCTTACTGAGCACTGTGCAGGTGTCTGCATTATGCTGTGGCATAGCAGAGGAAGGGTGATGGAGGTAGGCGGATGGCTAGTAGCTGGTTGAACACTAAACCTCTATTTTAATTGCTCAGTTTTGTTCTCCCACTTCCTTGAGCTTGGGTTGAAAAAGATTGGAACAAAGTTGACTAAGCCCAGTAGTGATTAAGAATGAAATATGGATCATTGGCTCAGGGGTAGGGACAGAAGGAAGCAAAGCTGGCTTGAGTGAGAACTACTGGGAATACAATCTTTTTGAACTGGGGACACTTGATGAAGGAAGAAAAATCAGAGGAAGGTGAAATGATTGTGGGGTGATCTGGAAGGGAGTTCAAATATCTTCATGTTGATTTAGTTGGCAGAACTAGCAGCAATAATAATAAAGCTGACCATGTCTCTACAACCGAATAAGAAGTCTAGCGATGAGGGAGACTAAGCAGGGGTATTTTGCATAGGATTGGTGCAAGAGGGGAAACAAAGTGAGGTGTCTATTGGGTTGAGGCTGGTTGTTTGTCCAAGCAGTTAGACCTGTTTGGAAGTTTGCTTATGTGTTTTTGTTTCTTTGTTTGTTCTTGTGCTCTGCTTAGGATATCATGCTCTAGAATGAGTGGCTATTACAGTGGACCCTCTACTTACGGAATTAAGCTGTATTGGAACAGTGGCTGCAGGTTGAAAAGTCTGTAGGTCGAGGCTCCATTGACCTACAATGCATTGAAAATCGATTAATCCGTAACTGGCTGTTTTTGTTCCATTTTGGTTTTTTTCTGGTCTGTAGGTCGATTCTCTGGCTGCAAGTCGAATCTAAATTTTGCATCCAGAGAAGTCTGTAAGTCGAGGGCCCACTGTACCAAAAAACAAGTGAGTCAGTGATTTGGTTGGAGTTGTAGGTGGAAGCTCTAGCTCTAAAATCAGTCATAAGTCCTGAGGGTTTGTGAGCAGGAGTGAGTGAATGGGGAGATTAAAAGAGGAAAAACTTTTGTGGGGATGTAAGAGGAGTCCTGGAGTGCTGTGTAACTGTCTGCATAGGTACGCTACATGGCTACATACAACAAAAAGGCTTGAAAGACCTGCTGCGATGAGCTGTAGCATTTGTGACATGTCTTCCTGCCAGATAGAGGAAAGGAGACTTGCAGCAAGAGGAAGCACAACCACCAGGCTTGCCTATCTACAGGTTGTCTCCTCAGTGAAGGTAGTTTGCATAGAGCAGAACAGATTCTCCTGGAAAAATAAGATGGGTGGGGGAGGATGCTTCTAAGGAAGAGGAAGAACACCAAATGCAGGAGGCAGGCACTTAGAGGAATGTGGCATGGGCAAGCAGGATAATCCTTAGAGCTACAAAAACAATACAACACTCCCCCTCTGGGCCACTGGCACAGGGATGATAGTCATAGGCTTCAGAAAACAAAACATGGCTGTGGAGAAATATGTGAATGTGAGGATTTTTGCCATTCCTCAGAGGAGAAGGGGAAGTTCTGTAGTTATTGCCTGAGGGGGACAGAGGCAACATTGTGTGGACCTGACAGAAAATCTCTGGAGGTGTGCTGTCTCCCTGGTGTGAAGATGCAGGATGTGACAGAAGTCCTATTCACGCATTCCAAAAATAAGGCTAATTTGAAAGCATAAGTTCTAGAGTTCTAGCCCTGCCCCTGCCAGTAACTTTATTTGAAGGACAGTCTGGAGGGAAGACAAGCCTCTTAGAAGCAGGAAACCTGCCAGAGAGGCGGCTGGCCCTCTGGATGAAGAGAGGGAAAGGGAAGTAAATGGTAGAGAAATTAAATGAATTCTTCACATCTGTCTTCATGACGGAAGACCTTGGGCAGATTCCATTGCCCGAATGGCCCCTCATGACTAATGAATTAAATCAGAGGCAGGTTAAAAGAGGATGTTTTAGATACATTAAAGATCAGTAAGTCACTGCGCCCAGATGGCATCCGCTCAAAGGTTATTAAGGAACTGAGGAATGAAATTGCTGATCTCTTAACTAAAATATACAACTTGTCCCTTAAAACGGCCACAGTGCCAAAGAACTGGAGGATAGCACATATGCCAATCTTTAAAAAGGGAAGGAATGGGGACCTGGGAAACTACAGGTCGGTTAGCCTAATGTCTGTTCCAGGGAAGATGGTGGAAAGCCTCATCCAAGATAAAATCTTAAAACACATAGAAGAACAAGTCTTGCTGAGGGAAAATCAGCATGGGTTCTGTAAGGGTATGTCTTGCATCACAAACCTTTTAGAATTCTTTGAAAAGGTCACCAGGCATGTGAATGTGGGCGAACCAGTGGATATTGTCTGTCTGGATTTTCAGAAGGCGTTTGATGTGGTCCCTCACCATAGGCTGCTGAGAAAACTCCACAGTCAGGGGATAAGACGGCGGGTCCTCTTATGGATTGAGAATCGGTTGAGAACCAGGAAACATAGATGTCAATTGGCAATTTTCACAATGGAGAGAGGTGAAAAGCAATGGGCCCCAGGGATCTGTCCTGGGACCGGTGCTTTTCCATTAGTTCATAAATGACCTAGAGCCAGGGATAAGCAGTGAGGGGGCCAAGTTTGCAGATGACACAAAACTTTTCCAGGTGGTGAAGACCAGAAGGGATTGTGAAGAGCTCCAGAAGGATCTCGCCAAACTGGGAGAATGGGTGGCAAAATGGCAAATGCATTTCACTATAAGAAAATGTAAAGTAATGCACATTGGGGCAAAAAACCCAAAACGTTATTTATCAGCTGATGGGTGCTGAGCTGTCTGTGACAGATCGGGAAAGAGATCTTGGTGTGCTGGTGGACACCTTGATGAAAGTGTCAACCCACGTTGTGGTGGCAGTGAAGAAAGCCAATTCCATGTGCGTTGTTGTTGTTCAGTCATTAAGTCATGTCCAAATCTTCATGACCCCATGAACCAGAGCACGCCAGGCCCCCTCCTGTCTTCCACTGCCTCCCGGGGTTTGGTCAAATTCATGTTGGTAGCTTTGATGATACTGTCCAACCATCTCGTCTTCTGTCGTTCCCTTCTGCTCTTGCCTTCACACTTGGGATTCATCCACTCCAGCCTTTCGCATTTAAGTTAAATAAGCAGGGTGACAATACAGCTTTGTCGTACTCCTTTTCCAATTTTGAACCAATCACTTGTTCCATATCCAGTTCTAACTGTTGATTCCTGCCCCACATATAGATTTCTCAGGAGATAGATAAGGTGGTCAGGCACTCCCATTTCTTTTAAGAACTTGCCATAGTTTGCTGTGGTCCACACAGTCAAAGGCTTTTGCGTAATCAATGAAGTGGCAGTAGATGTTTTTCTGGAACTCTCTGGCTTT